ATTCTGACACCAGGGAGTAGACGTGTTGTTTGACATGAACATTGATAATATGGAAGGTAACTTCAATAGTCCTGAATAGATCCATTGATATCTTTGGATGTAAATCCTGCACTTTGTTTAATATCTCATTTTCAATTCCATTTACTTGTTTCCATGGACGAGTTTCCAAATTATAATCAATTAGAGATGCGTGTGCTCATCTTTATCACATATAACTTATAGAAACGTTTCAGTAACTACAAACAGTGAAATAGTTTTTAGAGGTACATTTGTTTGTAGCACACAGCTTCAAGCCTCTGATGATCGGCATCTGGCGAGCTGACATGACATAGTGCAGCGAACCAAACATCACTGAGCAGAACAAGGTAATGAGCACAAAAGCACAAGTGCTCCATGTCAGGTCATCAACAGTATGTGTAAATGAGTATGGTCACATACACATAAGACCCTGTTATGTCTCATCATGGTTGAATCATATTCAGGATATGATAGAGAATACACCTGTTTATTAATATGGTTTATGTTTATCTGTGCAGAGTGGCTTTGAATCCTCAACACCCCAGACTGTCATCTCTGTACCGATTCAACTGGCCTATACAACCAAAGCCATCCGTCTGCACCTCTATCAGCTGACACCAGGTCACACAAACTCTAAACACACTTCGGACTCACTTTTGTCATGCATGCAAGTTAATGCCACCAAAATAACCCCTCATGAGCCGTCTTTCATTCTGCATTGTTTTCTACTCGGCACATGGGCACACATGTCACAAAGACTCTTGGTGTATATTGTGTTCTATATTGACTGAAGAGTTGTATTGCTTGCATTTATGATTAGCAGTAAAACACACAAACACATCCTGCTCCCTGAGGACACAATCCTGCAGAGCTCTCTGAGAGATCATCTGTGGTTAGTTATTAAACAAATACTTTAATCTGATTGGTTCATAGCCGTGACATAATATTCTCACCAGCACTCTGCGTCGAAGAAAAAGCATTGCTGGACTAAGGCGTTGTCATGTTAGCTTAGTGACAGGATCACTGGGAGCTCACTTCTACAATGCGGGACAGGTTACAGATAAGAAGTCACAAAGCTGCTAAACCCAGGCAGCAACCTCCGGGTCTGAAAAGCGAAGCCATGCTGAAGTGTCTTAAATGTTTTTACCATGTAAAGTGCCTTTGAGTACCTTTAAAGCGCTATACAAATAAAATGTATTATTGATATTATTATTAAAGCTGCACTCTCTCATCTAACGTCTGGTTGTATAAAAACAAGACGTGACGGCCAAAATGCCGAACTCAAGGTTTCAGAACGTCAGTCTACAAACCATTGGGCAGTGGTGTATAGTAACGAAGTAGAAATACTTCGTTACTGTACTTAAGTCGTTTTTTTTGATATCTGTACTTTACTACTTATATTTCTGTTTACTTTTACTTCACTACATTTTGCAAAGAAAACTGATACTTTTACTCTGATACATTGCCCCTGAAACCTTCGTTACTCGCTACAAAATCAAATCTATCTTTAGAAACAAAATGAATCATGAGACCAGCGTCGGGGACTGTGGTGGAACAGAGACTGTAAGCAAGCAGGTTTGGTGAATCAGTGGTCCTAGCTTGCAAGTTAAATCATTAGTTAATCACGTTAATGCGCAATTGCAAACAAGTGCTCTCAAAGCCGCGGTGTTTTGATTCCCAGTGATGCCCAGGATGCTATATGCTATAGCTAGCGAGACTGCATGAGTATAATTCCACTCTACGATGACTGATTTCATCATGGAAGCAGAAATGGAAGCACCTGCTACTCCCGCAACAAACGACGGTGGTGACGAAGACCAACACCCGAGGATCGCTAGCGAGTTAGTGAGCTGAGGAAGTGTTGACAGTTGTGAGATTGTGTTGATTTGAGTCATTTTAGCTATAATCATTGCAGCACTAGTTAGCTAACGTTAGCTAACTTAACGTTAGCTAGCCACCACACCATAGGATTGACAGGAGCCTTAGGGCATTAGGGTTAGCATTAGGGAAATCCTTCCCAGCTGTGCGCAAGCTGAACACACCTCTACCTGCCTCAGCGGCCTGTGAAAGGCTATTTAGCATCGCAGGACTAGTCTTCAGTCCAAGAAGAGCCAGACGGAATTCTCGCAATTTTGAAAACCAACTTCTTTTGAAGATGAACAGGACATTTTTCAGTTTCAAGTAATAACTGGGTTGTTACTTTCGGTGCTGCTTTAGTATTGATCATGTTTTGATACTTGAGTCATTTTGTGGATGATCAGATGGAGTTATGATGGTAGCAGTCGCCCAATTGCAGATTCAGCTTGAGCAAAACCTTTGCCTGTTGTGTTCAAATCAGGCCCATAGGAGTTTACAAGGCAGGCGTCCTTTCTCACAACACTGACCTGATGCATCAAGTGGATATTTTTTGCTGAACACAATATGATGCATTTGCCCTCTACATCCTCTAGTCAGAATGAGCATACTTATAAACGCACAGTTACAACTCCTTCATAGTGTCATATTGCTTTTCGGAGAATTATGATGATAAGTTCATAGTAGATGCAAAAGTATACTTATGTACAATATATTATGTTGAACATTGTTGCTCCTGGATGGATCACAGCCAACCCAATTATTGTCAACACAGCTCCATGTCCTTGGTCATGGTGCCACAGCACTTAAAAGAATAAACTTCATAATTCTCAAAATTCTGACCCTTTGCTTTTTTATTAACAGCATTTACTTGTACTTTTACTTTCAATACTTAAGTACATTTAATATCAGAAGTAGTATTCTAATAGGTGACTTTTTACTTTTACTGGAGTAGTTTTCCAGTAAGGTATCTTTACTTTTACTCAAGTATGGCTTTTGAGTATTTTATACACCACTGTGTATATGTATATGTGTATATCTATGTGTAATAAACACATAGACATACACATTCAGTATATTATACTGTATGTGTATGTATATACTGTATGTGTATGTATATACTGTATGTATGTATATATATGTATATACAGTATATGTGTGTGTATATCTATATGTAGTTATGTATGTATGTATGTATATGTCTGTAAATATGTATACATATGTATGTATATACGTTTGTGTGTATATATACAGTTGTGTGAAAAAGTGTTTACCCCCTTCCTGATTTCTTATTTTTTTAAATGTTTGTCACACTTAAATGTTTCAGATCATCAAACAAATTTAAATATTAGAAAAAGATAACACAAGTAAACACAAAATGCAGTTTTTAAATGAAGGTTTTTATTATTAAGGGGAAAAAAAAATCCAAACCTACATGGCCCTGTGTGAAAAAGTGATTGCCCCCTAAACCTAATAAGTGGTTGGGCCACCCTTAGCAGCAACAACTGCAATCAAGCGTTTGCGATAACTGGCAATGAGTCTTTTACAGCGCTGTAGAGGAATTTTGGCCCACTCATCTTTGCAGAATTGTTGTAATTCAGCCACATTGGAGGGTTTTCGAGCATGAACCGCCTTTTTAAGGTCATGCCACAGCATCTCAATCGGATTCAGGTCGGGAATTTGACTAGGCCACTCCAAAGTCTTCATTTTGTTTTTCTTAAGCCATTCAGAGGTGGACTTGCTGCTGTGTTTTGGATCATTGTCCTGCTGCAGAACCCAAGTGCGCTTCAGCTTGAGGTCACGAACAGATGGCCGGACATTCTCCTCCAGGATTTCTTGGTAGACAGCAGAATTCATGGTTCCATTTACCACAGCAAGTCTTCCAGGTCCTGAAGCAGCAAAACAGCCCCAGACCATCACACTACCACCACCATATTTTACTGTTGGTATGATGTTCCTTTTCTGAAATGCCGTGTTTCTTTTACGCCAGATGTAATGGGACATACACTTTCCAAAAAGTTCAACTTTTGTCTCGTCAGTCCACAGAGTATTTTCCCAAAAGTCTTGGGGATCATCAAGATGTTTTCTGGCAAAACTGAGACGAGCCTTTATGTTCTTTTTACTCAGCAGTGGTTTTCGTCTTGGAACTCTGCCATGCAGGCCATTTTTGCCCAGTCTCTTTCTTATGGTGGAGTCATGAACACTGACCTTAATTGAGGCAAGTGAGGCCTGCAGTTCTTTGGATGTTGTTATGGGGTCTTTTGTGACCTCTTGGATGAGTCGTCGCTGCGCTCTTGGGGTAATTTTGGTCGGCCGGCCACTCCTGGGAAGGTTCACCACTGTTCCATGTTTTCGCCATTTGTGGATAATGGCTCTCACTGTGGTTCGCTGGAGTCCCAAAGCTTTAGAAATGGCTTTGTAACCTTTTCCAGACTGATAGATCTCAATTACTTTGTTTCTCATTTGTTCCTGAATTTCTTTGGATCGCAGCATGATGTCTAGCTTTTGAGGATCTTTTGGTCTACCTCACTTTGTCAGGCAGGTCCTATTTAAGTGATTTCTTGATTGAGAACAGGTGTGGCAGTAATCACGCCTGGGTGTGGCTAGAGAAATTGAACTCAGCTTTCCAAAGATGTGATAAACCACAGTTAATTTATGTTTTAACAGGGGGGGGGAATCACTTTTTCACACAGGGCCATGTAGGTTTGGATTTTTTTCCCCCTTAATAATAAAAACCTTCATTTAAAAACTGCATTTTGTGTTTACTTGTGTTATCTTTGTCTAATATTTAAATTTGTTTGATGATCTGAAACATTTAAGTGTGACAAACATGCAAAAAAATAAGAAATCAGGAAGGGGGCAAACACTTTTTCACACAACTGTGTGTGTGTATATGTGTGTGTGTGTGTGTATATATATATATATATATATATATATATATATTACACTTGAATCGTACTTGAATTGTAATTCCTGTTAATTTTGAAGATTTTTTTACCAAGTTGCTGGTGTATGATTTATTATTTTCATAAGAGGTAACAAGTCAGTAATGTAAGTATTTATTTGTTACATTTAGTTTGACAGAATCAGTAAAACAATGTTCCAGTGAAGCCTGATGTTCCCTACACATGACGTCTCTTCCTCACAGTGAGGCGTACCACTCACTGAATAAACACTGGTCTCTGATCAGAGCTCTGTACCAGCTGATACCAAAGACCAGGTTTCACTATTGGGACTGTAAATGTCAGATTGGAGCATCCCTACTTTGGGGGCCCCAAGCAGCATTTGAGTGGAACCCTCTTTTCATTTTGTGATCTTGTTGCTTTCTCTTAAGAATGTTTGTGTAACAGTTGTTGGTGGAAACACTCACACGGTATGTTTTGAGGATGGAGACACACAAGCAACACTAGTAACCCTTCCTTTCCTCTTCCCAGGCTCTCTGGGGGATGTGTCCCGCTATGCCAAAGCCTTCACCGACATGGCCGAGGTGGACTCTTACTTGTCTCTCAATGTCAGCTCCTCCCTGTGCCTCACTGCCAGCGTCCTGCAGGCTTTCCCACAGCGTCCAGGTCAGCAGCGCACCGTGGTCAACATCACGTCACTGTGCGCTCTGCAGCCTTTCCGCTCCTGGGTGCTGTACTGCACCAGCAAAGCTGCCCGAGAGATGATGTTCAGGGTGCTGGCTGAAGAGGAGCCGGACCTCCGGGTGCTCAGCTACTCCCCAGGTGAGGAGCTGCTTGTTTGTGCTGGTTACGTTCCAGTCCAACCAGTCAGCCTGATGCCGTGTTCACACTAAACGCGGCGCGAATTCATCGCGCCGCAAATTCGCGTCAATCGCGCCGCCGGTTAAAACGCCGGGGACCAAGTGTTCATTCGCGCGAATCGCGCTGGACGCGCCGGAGAGGGGGCGGGGCTTATCGCCCTGAAAACCGTTCAACTGTCCGCCATTAACCATGAAAAAAATAACCTCTATTTCTGCTTAGTACGTGTTGTGGAAGTCACAGATATCACGGGAAACTAAACGCCGTCATGTCTGGTTCATAACATAGTCCAGAGGAGCTCCGTGTATTTTATCGAGCTGTGTTCACTGTGTCTAGCGAGCCACAGGTCGCAGTTTACTACAGCTGTATGAACACTAAGTAAACTGATTTGGCTGCGATTTAACGGCAATAAACCGACAAAAAGGGACTCTGAAATAACTACGTAATGATGCCGATTTGTAGGCTACTTGTCTTCTCAATGGAGCTCGGACTGATCGGTGCTAGGCTATGCTAACATTGTAGCAGCTCCACCAACAGTCAGAATAACGTCATGTAGACGTAAATACGGCAGCGTCTATTCATTGTTTGTACCATGTGGTTTACACACATTTATACACATAGTCCGGTCTCTGTTGATATGAGGTATCGTAGAGCTCTGGGTGAACACAGACGGCTACAGTATTTATTTCCTGATTCAACAATGGCAGGAAGTCAGTGATGACGGGGGGAGCAACTCAACGCTGATAGGCTATCGCGCCACAGCGTCACGCGAATATTTCGCAGAAGTTGAAAAATTTCAACTCACGCGTTGGACGCGAATTCGCGTCCATCGCGCCGCGCCATCGCAAATTCGCGCCGCGCCAGTCTCATCGCGTCTGTGCATAGACTTTGTATGTAATCTACTCGCGCCGAAAATTCGCGCCGCGTTTGATGTGAACGCAGCATAAAAGACTGGAGCTGAGTCGAGGAATTTAATGAATGAAGTCTTCCTAAATGAGTCGCGACACTGAGCAGTAATGCCAGTCTTTAAAACTAAAACTTACCAATAGGTGCAAACATTATTTCACACACTTTCAAAGGTAGAAGAAACATGCAGGACATACAGAACCATACCACAGCTCACAACTCACTTTATTAGTTGACTTTTAGTCACATAATAATGAGGGGATGATAAAAAGCAAATGCATTTTGAAAAGGTGTACAGCCTAGCTGCGTAACCGATAACCCCCCCAGTGTGAGTGAAGCGCTGGAGGACGGCTTGTTCAGTAACCTCTGACCAAGGTAACGAACGCACCCCCCAAAATCTACACGCAAGACCGTCTCAGCCTGCTTAGGGAGGCGAAAGCCAGGATAACTTGATACCACTAGCCACCGTCATATCACTTATTTCAGGCTAAAAACGTCGGCCTTCCCGACTGCCAGATATCAACGGATTTGTGTGTGTGCAACAGGTGTGGGAGGACTGGAAGTACTCCAGGATGGACCCGCTCTAAAGGGCCACTGCTGGAGGAGGAACCCCATGTGGTTGGGAACCTCGCTCGGTTATTAAGGGCAGCTTCAGGACTCTGGCCCTAACACCCCTAATTTGGATGCCAATCTATTGTTTCTTAATACACCTCAGTTGATGTCTAAGCATTATAATCACACTGCAACATCACATAAGATACATCAGCAGAGCTTCAAAATCAATCTGAGCCAACCAAGTTAGTAAATTACAACAATACTGAACAACACCATCTTAACCTCAGCTTGTAACAGAAATGTCATCATAACAGCCGATCCCAGGGGAAGAGCTCTCTCACCTTTAGGAGACTACGAAGGCCCACCAGAGACGAGCAGCACTGGACTTTGGTTGGAATGCACAAAATACAAACCACTTCATTTGGTTTTTACAAAAAGTTTAGAAAAGCTTATGAAAATGAATAATAAAAAATGAAATAAAAGATCATACAAAATGTAAAATGCACCAAGTTCACAAAGAACCAAGTTTCCTAAAGAGCAAGAACCCCCAGAAGCCTCGGTCCCTTGTTGTCTCCTCCTATATGTACACTTCTCCTTGGTGCTTCTGCAACCTCCGGGTCCATAGAAGGTAGACAACAGATCATTCTTAGATCATTGGACAAAACAGTTCTCATAGTCTTATTACTTCTGACAGACACCCCCCCCCCTTCCCCTCTCATTGAACAGGACGCCTCTCTAACTAACACAATAGTTAGTTTCTGAGTTTACAACCTTTCTCCTCTGCTGACTGTCAATCATCAGGTCAGAGTGAGCTTAACTCCAAGTTCACTTATGTCATTAGCTTTAACATACAGTCGACATTACAAGCACGTATGATTACATTCTGATAAATGATAGAAAGTCACACATTAAAGCAATTTAATAATTGAACCGTCTCTAAACGATATGGGATTACATGTAACGAGTATATTGATATCTGAAAATATAACACTCTTAGCTCGATAATAAACAATAGATTGTAACTCATCATAGACAATGGAAGGTAAAGAGAGAATAGACAACTTTTATAAAATACAACTAACATAGGACCTCCTGTCTGGCTCGAGGTCACAGGGGCCATGTTTCATACATGTCAGTTAGGTGTGAAAGCACAACACGCCTAGAAGACTTTAGTGTAAGAGTCAGCTCAAACCACAGCATGATGCCGTAGCGCTTCTTTGGGGTCTCGCCTCTCGCTCGTAGTAGAGGTGTTAAATAGCATCAACGTTCTTCTGCATATATGTGCTTGAGAGTAACAAAGTTCATCTGCAGTATGCAGCAAAACTACAGTTTCACCCTTTTGCACGTATTTGTTTAATCCATCATTTCAATAAGTCGATTAATCAATTGGTGTATCAATTATTTTAATAGCAAAACTAGAGCGATAGGTTTTTAGGGTGTAGTGTGTCTCGGACATTCTTGGTGGATACCTCAATGGTTCGTTGTGTCCCTTTCCAGCCTTGAACCACACTCACCTGTGTCCTCTGTATTGAACCAGGGCCTCTGGACACAGACATGCAGATGTTGGCCAGATCCAGAACAGCTGATCCCAGCATCAGGAAGTCTTTTTCAGACATGTCCGCTCAGGGCCAGCTGCTCACCTGTGAGGCGTCCTGTGCCAAGCTGATGAAGCTCCTTCTGGAAGACAACTACACGACGGGAGCTCACGTTGACGTCTATGACGTCTAGACACAGCATGAGTGCTTACAGATTATTTCTATGTGTGCCTTGATTTTGATTGAAACTCTACTGATTTATATCTGCCACTTACCTCTTATGCTACAGTTCTATGTGGAGAACTTCACTGTCAGTCTTACTTCTGTAGGGTATAGCCTTCAATTTTGACATGGACCAATATGACAGCCTGAATACCAAACTGATGTTCATCAAATGTACGTTCAAAACATTCCAGGACAGAAATTCACTCTCCACGCGGCCAGCATTCTCTGAGCACCGGCATCTTCTTTCAGCTGTCTTTAATGAGGAGAGAGAAGCTGCGGCTGCATAGAGAAAAGGCGCTCACCCAGTGATCTGTTTTAAGAGCTCTCCATGCCTCAATGTATTTTAATGCCACCGCTCTGAGCACATTTTGTTTGAAAATCTCTGAACTTTTCAGAAAGGCGCTGGTGTCGTCACTGTGGACGAAGCGCTCTGCCAAAAAAAACAAACGCTATATGGACTTAGCGGTCTGAAAGCAGGACTTCTGCTGTGTGAGCCTGACAGCAGAGCACATGGACCGACTGAGCTTCTACATGCAGCGAGAGGAAGTAGAGAGGGACATTCACGATGCGTTACCTGAAGGCCACCGTAGTTCTGAAGGGAGGGGTGAGGTGGGGGAGGAGTCTTCAGTTGGTATATTCAGAGCAAGCTCTCTTTTACAGGACGTCCTGATTACTGTACATATAAAACAATAAAAGGAACAGTATACAATTATACAACAAACCGGCCAAGAATGTGAAAAGCTATTCAAAAACATGCGTTCACACTGCTCCACAGTATGTCAGTTACAAGGGATGCCAACTGATTAACAGGGATCAGCTGGTCTAAATGTACAAGCTTGTGTGGTTCATAGTATTTAAAAGCCAATTTCTCAATCTCAGTATAGACTTGATGCTTGAGGACCAGATAGTCTTGGGACCTGGTTCGGTGTGAGGTTGATCTAGGCCTAGTTAAAGGCCTCTGAACCTCCACTAGACGCCATCAAATCCTACACACTGCTGCTTTACATCTGTTCAGAAAAGTTGAAGAGAAAAATAAGAAAAGCCATCTTTGTCAAAGGGTGTCCCCCTAACTGTAAACTGTATGTTCATGTCATCAGTTGATGTTGCTCTCTTTGTGCTCTGAACTCAATGTGTGCTGTTCATTGTGTCCTGAGTTTAATGAGCCTTACTTGTGATATCTGTTAATACGATGTTCAGTGAACTGTGATTGAAGCCGCTGTAATGCTGAGCATTTTAATATGTGACTCAACTCAAAATATTCTCACACGTTTCTCAATGTATGTCTTATTATTTGTATATGATTGAATTATATGTGCATTCCTTCAGCTGTAATCCAAATCTGCTTTGTAAACTTGATACTGTTTATTACATAAATGCAATACTGAGTTGTCTTTTTATCATCTTTGCGCACATGTCGTTGAAGCCAATGATAAGAGTCTGACAATCCTACCTACAAAAATATCACAGTATAGTACCACCTATAACAACTGAACAGTTTGTGATATTTCTTTGATGCTATAAATCACTTGATACTTCCAAATTGGTAATAATCCGTAACAAAGTGTTAAAAGTGGAGCAGTTAATGGAGCATTTAGCAAAAGTCTTTTGCTAAATGCTCCGTTATTTTCAGCAGCTAGTCACTAACAGTGCTGAGCAGCGTGAATATCCACAACACACAGCGAGATGTAGACATTGTGTTGAGATCACAGATCAAGTGTTGGTGTTAAAGGACAGGTCAGAGGGGGTCACCATGAATATCCACAGATCATCACAGAATTAGACCACGTGACGTTTGATCACAACAGCAGCTCTCTGTGAAGCTGTGCTAATCAATGTTTTCATAGTAACAATGGATCAGTTGAGTGAGTACTGTGAAGGGGTCACTCGTAGTGACTAGCCCACAGAGTTCTCACAATGTGTCTCTGTGTCAGTAGACAGCTGTATCATGTACCATATCCACTTTATATGGGGATAGTAGTCTTACTGACAGGTGGGACCACCTCCACTGTACTGTGCAAAGGTTTCAAAAGAAGAAAAACAGCCTCTGAATGTGAGCAGCTCCGTTTCCTGTCATGAGCCTCAGACAGACAGCCACAGCTGCCCCGGACCAGAATACCTCCAGAGGGACCAACCCAAAGAAGGAGGCACCCCTAGACTCCCTTCACCTCTCCTACCTCCCCCAGCCCCTCATTTCCCACTGCTCTCCCCCCTTCCCACTCTGGGGAGTTGGTACAACCTCTAGAGGGGCACATTTATTTTGGGCTGTAGCAGGGGTCTGGCTAAGTAGAGCGGGGGCAAGTGCTCCTTATAATTTCACGAGACCTCTCCGCTCCCTGCAGCTTGTTTAGTCCCTCATCCCTTGGCTAGTCGCAGCCTTCTCCGTCCGCTGGGTTTTGTTTCACCAGCACAATGACTGTGGGGAACATGGAAAGTGCTCAGCTGTTTGATGCTGGGGGGAAAGGTCGAGGCCTGAGGGCCACCAAAGAACTCAACGCTGGGGAAGTGGTCTTCGCCGAGCCCAGTTTCTCTGCTGTGGTCTTCGACAGGTACGAGGCTCCCGGTTGTTGTAGTCTTATACTAGATGGACAGGTAGGAGGACTGGCTTTTTCTTACTCAGCATGTCTGCACGTCTGACTGACACACTGTGTGTTGTGGACAAGAGGTCAGGCTTCCCTCAGCTGTGACCTCATTTCTAGATGCCCAAATTCTCATGACACCAGCAGAGAGAGAGCTGTCAGGGTGTCATGTGAGCTTGATATACTTTTGGATTCAGTGTTCAAGAGCACAGAGGCTCTACCACAAAATTCACCTTGCAAGCTTTCAAATTAATTTCTAATATTGAAAATATATAAAACATCAGTCTTAGATATTCCATTGAGCTCATGTGGGAAAATCTCAGTAGCAGTGTGACTAGAGAAATGACATTTCTTTCTCTCTACATGCAGTAGATTATAGTCTGCAGTGTCTCTATCAGCTTTCAGACGGATCGGTCATGCCTCTATTTTTTCACATTGTTCATATGCTTCATACTACACTAGGAATATGGTCACAGCTGCTAAAAGTTCATATAGGAAAATAACAAAATATTCATAAAAAAGAAAGTGAATATGAAACCGAAGGCTGCTTCTCCATGTTTAGTTTGGAGTCTGACAGTCAGCAGACCTGAGAAAGACTCCTTTCTGTTGTGAGCCTGGCAGTTTGGGAGCAAGGCATGCATAGTCGATCAACCAATAGGAGAAAAGCTGACACCATGACACACTTTGAATGACGGCCATCTAATTTACATAATTAAGAAAGGTATAAATACAGAAATATACAGGTTTTGGGAAATAAATAGGGAAAAAATGCAAAGGTATATATATATATATACACTTGGTACACAATTGCATATTCATTTATTTATTGATGTATTTTGTCTGCTTCCGTCCTCCATACAGGTATATTATTGGATAAACAGCAGAGAATGAGTGTTCTGTTTAGGGCGAGCTGAACTGACTGACTTCCCTTTAGTCCCTTTAGTCTCACTGCAGTTATGGAGATGTCAATGAAAGATGTTTTTAGTGCAGCTGCTAGGTTTCTCTCTTTTGTGACCCTCTCAGTTTGGCCACTCAGGTGTGCCACAGCTGTTTCCGGCACCAGGCCAAACTGCACCGCTGTGGCCAGTGTAAGTTTGCCCATTACTGCGACCGCACCTGCCAGACCGCATGCTGGGATGAACACAAGCAGGAATGTGGAGCCATCAAGAAGATCGGCAAGGTACCCAGCGAGAATGTTCGGTAAGGAGAACTGAGACCTGAGAGGAAGCTGCAGGAGACGGATGAAAAAAAAGTTGTATAAAACTGACTTGTATCTAAACAGAACAGAACAATCAGCCACAGTCTGGGTAATACATCACTGCAAGGAAAGAAATCATAGAAACCAAAGCCCTGTTTTACACAACAAGGCTTTCTTTTTGTCTCAAATCTGATACTGTGTTAAGTCAAGTTAATTTTCTTTATGTAGCACAATATCAGAAATCACACATTCACCTCAAGGGGCTTTGCAATGTGTTTAGCATACCACACCCTCTGTCCTCTGACCCGCGCTGCGTCTAATGATACTTGGTTCATGCCCGTTCTGCTCAGTGGTTTAACATCTATGGTTGGAACAAATTAAAGGTTAGCCTATGCAAGAAAACATCATCCAACCTATTATATTTTCAAGTGGTGACTTCAGGAGGATGAGATAGTAGTCTGTACAATTCAGACCACAGCAAGTAGTGCTTGTATGGCATTTGGTCAGATGGTCAACAAGATATCTCAACAAGTGCTTGCCACCTGGGTATAAAATTTGGTATGGATGTTCATGGTACGTTGAGGATGATTTCTAAGTATTTAAGTGACCCACCCAGACTGTTCCTTCCCAACACTTTGTTATATGACAAGTTGTCTCTCACTCAGGCTGGATTTCCATGAAATTTGTTGTGGATATTTATGTTCCACAGAAGATCCATTTGAGTGTTTTTATGACTTATTTTGGGCAATTGGGCCACAACTGGTTGGGACTGAAGTATCTCAACAATTATTGGGGCGACTGTGGTTCAGTGGAGAGAGCAGTGTCGTCCTTCAATCTGAGGATCGAACCCTGGCTCCACTAGTCCATGTCGATATGTCCTTAGGCAAGACACCAAAAATTGCTCCCGTAGCTGTACCTACGGTGTGTGTATGCGTGTGCATGTTAGTTAGTCCTGATGGGCAGGTGGCACCTTGCATGGTAGCCCCTGTCCTCAGTGTATGAATGGGTGTGAATGGGTGAATGATGACAAGTAATGTGGTTTGAGTGGTCGGAAAGACGAGAAAAGCGCTATACAAGTACAGTCCATTTACCATTTACTATTTATTGGATGCTTTGCAATTCAATTCTGTACAGATAGTCATGTGACCCAGAGGATGAATCCTACTGACGTTAGTGATCTTTTCCTCTAGCACCACCATGAGGTTCACATTAGTGGTTTTTTGTGAAATGTCTGAACTAAACTATTGAATTGATTGCCATAACATTTGTTACACAGAACTTATTTTCCCCAATTAAGTGAATGTGTTTGCTGTAAATCTAGCGGCAGGATCAGGTCAAAATTTCAGTTTTACCAATCTTTCGTATTATGATGTAAACCGTAAGTACTGTACTTTGGTTTTAGTGCTAACTAGCATATGTTAGGATTCTAACACACTAGACTAAGTTGGTAAACATTATACCTGCTTAACATCAGCATGCTCAAAATTGTGATTGAGATTATGTTAGTGTTTGACTCAAAGCTCCAATCATACCATACAAATGTAATGGTCTCACTGTACAAAGCACATTCGTGGTTATCAGAGGATGAACCATTTTGTTTTAACTAGCCATTACCTTTCCTTTAGTGCCATATTACGGTGTATTGAAAATGAATGACTCCATGATAGTTTGCTGTCATTATTCATGTTCCACAGATGATGAACACTCTTGATGATAATCCTATAAAGGCCAGGCCAAATTGTCAATTTTGCACATAACAACATCTTCCAATCTAATTGACAGACTGTGTCAGATGACAGCCAAAGTAGAAGCATCATACAGACAAAAGAAGTAGTCAAGGCACAGTAACTGGGATGGTCTGACTGTTGACGCTGGTAAATTGGAGAGAGGTGTATACTGACTAGTGGATACACATCTATCCACAAGAACACATGCTTATTGTCCTAGAATAGAGAATGTGTCAGTGTGTTATGTGGTCTAATAATCAAACATTTGATGGTACTTTGCAGCCTCTCTATGGGTCACTAGTGGGGCTTTAGACTTGTGATCCTGTTAATACAGTGCACTACAGTACACATGAATATCAGAAGGGGGACTTGAGGAGCTTTGGCTGATGTTCTGTGTAAGGTGACAGAAATAAATAAATAAATAATCTTTATTTTATTTATTTCTCTGATGTAATTCTGTACATCATGTGATGCATCATGTGCTGTCTATTAGGATATTGTCTTAGAACCTTGTTGGAAAAGTATTACTTTAACATGTTATCCTCAGGAGTCTTGATTATCAATCAATTAATCAGTGAGGTCTATTATTACAGGATGTAAACAGATGTTGATTTCTGTAGTATTGTATAGTAGAGAATAGTATAGTACAGTAGAGAATAGTATAGTATAGTAGAGAATAGTACAAAATAGAATAGTATAGTATAGTATAGAATAGTATAGTATAGTAGATTATAGTACAGTATAGAATAGTATAGTATAGAATAGTATAGTACAAAATAGAATAGTATAGAATAGTAGAGAATAGTATAGTATAGTAGAGAATAGTACAGTATAGTAGAGAATAGTATAGTATAGTAGAGAATAGTACAGTACAGTATAGAATAGTATAGTACAAAATAGAATAGTATAGAATAGTAGAGAATAGTACAGTATAGTATAGAATAGTATAGTATAGTAAAGAATAGTATAGTACAGTATAGTATAGTACAGTATAGAATAGTATAGTATAGAATAGTATAGTACAGTAGAGAATAGTACAAAATAGAATAGTATAGTATAGTACAGTATAGAATAGTACAGTATAGAATAGTATAGTATAGAATAGTACAGTATAGTATAGAATAGTATAGTACAGTATAGAATAGTATAGTATAGAATAGTATAGTATAGTAGAGAATAGTACAAAATAGAATAGTATAGTATAGTATACTATAGTATAGTATAGAATAGTACAGTATAAAATAGTATAGTATAGTATAGAATAGTATAGTACAGTATAGAATAGTATAGTATAGTAGAGAATAGTATAGTATAGTAGAGAATAGTACAAAATAGAATAATATAGTATAGTATAGAATAGTATGGTATAGTAGAGACTAGTACAAAATAGAATAGTATAGTATAGTATAGTATAGAATAGTATAGTATAGAATAGTATAGTACAAAATAGAATAGTATAGTATAGTATAGAATAGTATGATATAGTATAGTATTTAATAGAATAGCATAGTTTAGTATAATATAGTTAGTATAGAATAGAATATAATAGAATAGAATAGTATATAATAGAATAGTATAGTTTAGTATAGTATAGAATAGTATAGTGTAGACTAGTATAGTTTAGTATAGTATAGAATAGAATAGAATAGTATAGTGTAGAATCGTATAGTATAGTATAGAATAGTATAGTGTAGACTAGTATAGTTTAGTATAGTATAGAATAGAATAATATGATATATTATAGTATTTAATAGAATAGCATAGTTTAGAATAGTATAGTATGTAATAGAATAGTATAGTAAATAATAGAATAGTATAGTATATAATATAATAGTATAGCATAGTATAGTATATAATAGCATAGTATAGAATAGTAAAAGAGTCAGTGGTGGACACATCATTTTGAATGATCTCCATATTTCTCTCGCCCAGTCTGGCTGCTCGTGTGCTGTGGCGTATACACAAGGACACAGGCATTGTGTCGGACAGTCAGCTGATCTCAGTGGACCAGCTGGAGGACCATGTGGCTGATCTACCTGAAGAAGATCTTAAGCAGCTCAGGACTGATGTGCACACCTTCCTGGAATATTGGTCTTATGGAAGAAAGCAGCACTCTGTTGACGACATCTCACACATCTTTGGCATCGTAGGAATGAATGAATTGTTATTCCTCAGTGCCTCTTATTATATATTTGTAAAGTGCACTAGGAAAGACAGCTTCAGAAACAAACTTTGTACTTTGTCTCTCCCCTTCCCACTCCTTCCCTCCATACTCTCCTCTTCCCCCCCTCGCTGTCTCTCTCGGTAGATCAAGTGTAATGGATTCACACTGAGTGACCAGAGAGGCCTGCAGGCTGTTGGTTTGGGTCTTTTCCCCAACCTTTGTCTGGTCAACCATGACTGTTGGCCCAACTGCACCGTCATCCTCAACCACGGCAAGTAGGTATCCAAGCTAGGTATCAAGTAACAGTCAGAGACCTCTGGGTATTTGAATATACTGTATATATTATGTGAGCACACCAGTAAATACAATAATACAACTGGGAACCTTAATGACTTGTTAATGCTTTATATCAAACAAAATTCCAGTGAGTGGACTGTTGCTTTCTTTTGCAGCCAGTCAGCAGTGAGTTCTGCTCTCCACTCTCAGAGGAGGTATGTATTACAGCTGATCAACCTCTGTCATGTGACGTGGCTGTGAAGTTCAATTAAAAACTAGACAGAATTACAACACCAAGTGTGACCTATGGCAATCAAGACCATGCTACTTAGAAGTGATGTGTGGCTTTAGTCATTAAGTCAATTAATACCTACAAAGATGTCAATTAATGGTCATTGGTCCTGATAAATAAAGATGAAGAAAATAAAAGAATGCAGTGAGAAATGCATGTGTCAGCATAAAGTAGTGTGTACGATGAGAAGATTGAGACCCCTCTGATGTCTCTGTCCTGTCCTCCTCTGTCCCAGGATCGAGCTGCGAGCTGTGAGTAAAATCTCAGAGGGCGAGGAGCTGACCGTCACCTATGTGGACTTCCTCAACCTGTCCGCTGACCGCCAGAAGAAGCTGAAGGAGGATTTCCACTTCCAGTGCAGCTGCGAACACTGCAGCCAGCGTGTCAAGGACGACCTGATGATGGCTGCCGCAGAGAGCGAGGGGAACAAAGTTGGCTTACATATGATAACAGTCACATAAAAGTCTTTTTCATTTCTTTATTTGACTTACATGATGATGAGAATACTCAATGTTCCTGTCTCCCTCTCAGCCCTCTGCTGATAAGGTGAAAGAGGGGACCGCCTTCAGTAAAGAGTGTCTGGAGAAGATCGAGAGGTCCCGTATTGAGAAGGATTATTGCGAGGTACACAACACTGCTCTTAGCTTTCCTGCATTTCTCTCCCTCTCGCTTATTGTCTCCACTTCATATGCTTCTCTTTCTTCCCGTCTGTCCCCTGTATTGCATGCTGTCGGTCCTCTCTCAGGTGGTGAGGTTGTGTCGTGAGTGTCTGGAGAAGCAGGACAACATCTTGGCTGACACTCACCTGTATAAGCTGCGTGTGCTCAGCGCTGCCAGTGAGATGCTCTCATACCTGCAGTCCTTCTCTGAGGCTGCAGACTACGGCTGCAGGATGGTGGAGGGATACATGTGAGTGCTGACGCAGCACTTTGTTCTGAAGGGATACAGTTACTCGCACACTACACAGACACTAGTTGTCCCGACGGAGATGAGACAAGATCAGTATAAAGTTATGATTCATGTTTAAACTCCCCACGTTCCATAAAGTTGCATAGAAACTGCCTATGTCACCATAAGTTAGCAACCTTTGAAGCTCTACAGCTGGGACGGAGAAACCTCTATGTAATCACACCTTAATACAAAATACACTATTATTAGGCAAGTTGTATTTTTGAGGATTGATTTTATTATTGAACAACTACAGAGCTCTCGCTCAATCCAAAACGTTAATAAACCTCAAACATATATTATATATTAATATATATATAAACAATATTTAAGAAAGTAAAAGTGAGGTTTTGGCTTTCTTAGGACAATATCTGTGTGAACACAATTATTGGGCAACTAAATGAAAAATGTTCCCATCTCACTTGTTTATTTTCATCTGTTAAAGTGAGAATAATAAACAAACAACTCAAAATTTACAAAAAACTTTTCTGACATTTCAAATAAAAAATCTGTGACCAATACAGTCCCCCTTCTTTCCAATACCAGTAATAAGCCTTCATTCATGGACTCTGTCACTTCCTTGATCTGCTGACGATCAACCACAGCCTCCCACACACTGTTCAGAGAGGTGCACTGTTTTCCTTCACTGTAATTCTCCCATTTAAGAAGGGCCCACAAGTTCTCAATAGGGTTTAGGTGAGGAAGGGGGCCATGTCATTATTCTTTCATCTTTAAGGCCTTTACTGGCCATGCAGTGGAGTACTTGGATGCATGCGATGGAGCATTGTCCTGCATAAAAATCATGGTCTTCTTGAAAGATGCAGACTTTTTCCTATACCACTGCTTGAAGAAAGTGTCTTCTTCAACCCGAAAAGGTGCAACTAGCTGGTATTATTAAAGATGAGCTAGTTGGACCTTTTCGGGCCTGGAAAGCTAGACTGATTATGGACAGCAGGAAGGGTTACTGCAGGTCAGGAGGGAGCGGCTGGAGAGTTAACAAACAGAATGAGTGTTGTTACACACAAATATATGAAATCATTTTTATGAAAGCCTCAATATCTGGCCACTGTAGGTTTTGGCAAACGTTACGCTAACAGCAAGAATTAGTGCATTTGTTGGGGACTATTTTCAGCAGTGGAATAATCCACATTGGGTGCTCTAATGAGAATTTGTGGCTCATTGATGTGTTTTTAAACATATTTGGACAACGAAGGAGCTCAATGGGACATATAAATAAGATATCAGATACTTGTTAGTGGGGTACATTCATGATTGGTGGGGCTCTCCATGGGATTTGTTTCTGCAGAAAGCTGTACCACCCCAACAATGCCCAGTTGGGCATGGCCATCATGCGGGCAGGCGTGACCCACTGGCATGCAGGGCAGATAGAGGTGGGTCACGGCATGATCTGCAAGGCATACGGCATACTCATGGTGACCCATGGACCCAACCACCCCATCACCAGAGACCTAGAGGTACTTTATGCTGTAGTCTACTTATAGGAATCAAGCTGTGACTTTAGTGACGATAACTTCATCATTTAAATGTTTCTACAGACTGAGTTGTAAAGATTGAAATTATTGAAGCATTATTTCATTTTCTCAGTGCACTACTCCCAGTAATCTTGCTTTTTTATGCCTTCAGTCTATGCGCATGCAGACTGAGATGGAGCTGAAGATGTTCAAGCAGAATGAGTATGTGTGCCACACCATGACGGACGCTGCTCTGAAGAAGCAGCCAATAATCAGCACCTAAGCTGATGGAAATATCAAAGGCCTCCTCTGCAAGCAATGATCACCTGCATCACTGATGATCCTATCTTTAAAAATAAATAAATAAATATACATATATACAGTATATGTATATATACTTATATATACACACATATATATATATATATATATATATATATATATATATATATATATAGATATACACATATCTATATATATACACACATATAAACATCGAACAGAAAGTTTGGAAATTAGTGTTTGGTAGATTATTTCTCTGTTGTAACAATGCTTCTTGGCAATAATTGTATACCGTTGGAAAGCCTGTTTATTCACCTTTCAAACGGTGCCCCAATTGTAAGGAACATGCATTTGTGGGATGAGCAGCACAGCTGAGTATGCGGGTTGCGCCCATGAAAAATTTGCCAAATCTTCTCTGCCAAACAGCTTATTCTGCTGTTGCTATCGACTCTTGGTTGGTGTTGTTTGGTGGATTGGATGATTGAAGTCTTCAGTAACAAGGAAGAAACAAGACATATTGGCAATTTAACAAACAGGAGCCTCAGTAGCGTGTGGAAGAACCATACACAGCCACAACAGCCAGGCTCCTCCTCCTCATGCTGGTCACCAGCCTGCTCACACACTGCTGTGGGATGGCATTCCACTCCTCAAGCAGGATTTGTCGCAAGTCAGCCAACGTGGTTGTGTTGGTCACTCTGGCACGAATAGCTGATCCCACAAGTGTTCAATTGGGTTGAGGTCAGGACCATTCCATCCTCTCTACTCCCAAATTCTGGAGGTAGTCTCTGATAAACCGCTCTGTGGGGACGAGCGTTGTCATCTTGGAGGATGGAGGTCGGTCCCAGACTGTGGAGAAATGGGATTACCACTGGTTGCAGAATCTCATCTCGATATCTCTCTGCATTGAGATTGCCTCCAATGAAGACATTCGTTTTTCCAGTGATGGAGATGCCGCCCCACACCATCACACTGCCTCCACTAATGGGTGTTACTCTATCGGTGCAGCAATCAGCATAGCGTTCTCCCCGTCTTCTCCCACTTTGACCCTACGATCCAACTTCCTTAGGCAGAATCTGGACTCATCGCTGAACATAACGTTCCTCCACATGTTCAGGTTCCAGTGCAGGTGTTGCCGACACCAGCGCAAACGGGCCTGACGGTCAATAGCAACAGCAGAATAAGCTGTTTGGCATTGGCAGAGAAGATTTGGCAAATTTTTCATGGGCGCAACCCACATACTCAGCTGTGCTGCTCATCCCAGAAATGCATGTTCCTTACCAATGGGGCACCGTTTGAAAGGTAACTAAACAGGCTTTTCAACGGTATAACATTTATTGCCAAGAAGCATTGTTACAACAGAGAAATAATCTACCAAACACTAATTTCCGAACTTTTTGTTCAATGTTTATATATATACACATATACTGTAAATATATATATACTGTATATCGGTGCACTCTCTGCACTCCACAATGCAGACTCTTTATCATAAAAGTGGAGATACTGAGGTCATGAGTCCATCCACCCACTTCTTCACCCAAACATTATTTATTAAATAAAGTATTCAAGTATATTCAATTCCATTTAATATATTTTGTAAAACCCTTTAACGGGGAGAAAAGAGGGAAAGAGCTTAGAGAGAGCAACAGAGGAGGATCCTCTATCAGGATGGAGTGAGATAGATGTCATGTGTACAGAATGAACATAACAGTTACAACACATTCAATGCATATGACATCAATAATTCATATGAGAGTAGTAAGCAGAATAATGATGGAAACATTACGACTAGTAATAATAACAGCAGTAGTGGATATAGTAGAATAATAATGATAATAAAAGCAGTGATGGTATCGGTAATAGCAATGTGACTCCGACTAATAATGGTAGTAGCAGTGTGTGTCAGCAAGACCAGGGTCCAGATGATACCACGATTCATGGAAACCTGTGAGGAGAGAAAGCACAAAGACTCCGGGGAAGAAGCAAATTATCTGTAAACTATATTTCCCAATTTTAAACTGGACAGTAGATTCTGTTCAAAGGTTTATCCACATTTCTATTGGCCTGACATTAATTGACCGAGTCTGGAAAGACAGACACATGTGAGACACAATGACACCTGCTGTTGTAAAGAATTGTGGACACAACACACCAAAGAGGCAGTTAAATCCCCTAAGGCAGCTCAATCACACTTCAAGCTGCACTCCTAATTTTTGAAACTGCTCTTATCAGCCGTGTCTCCAGCAGCAGCTGTTTTCAGCTCCTTAGCTCTGACAAACACACTGTTCACTACCTGCCCAGCAGCAAACAGACACAGTGAACATACTGAAGAGACCAAACCCTGACTTTGCTAATAGTAAACGTCTGTGTTTTACTGCTTGCTCTGCTGCCCCCAAGCAAATGAATGACTTTGTCTAAGCAAACTAGAAATTCTTTCAAACAGTGATTTTCACTGAAGGAGGGGAGGTTTTGCACAAAGATGCAACACCTCTGCTATTCCACCATCGGTCTACTGCTCAGCCTGAGAGGACGGAGTGTCTCTGGAGGGTCAAGTCTGAGAAATAAAAGGAAAATAACCCTGATAACGTACTCAGGGTTAGTTAAGTTGCATTGTGGGAAATTTGTCATGCAGTGTTTTTAGCTTGCCCCACACTAGAAGCTAAAAGTCAGCCATGCTAAATGGGAGTACTGTAAAGTGCATGAGGTCAGACCTCTGCTGGGCGTGTGGATGGAATTACTGCTGCTGCACAGTGTTCAGGCAAGATGGCGGTTGAGCTTCAACGCACACAGAATCTCAAGAAAAGAGCAAAGTCCACCCTGAAATGCTTTTGGTTTGAAACGTATCTGAGCTCAGCTCGGACCAAACCAGCAATACTGACAAATACATCCGTATATATACAATACAGACAATACAGTTTACTAACTAGAGCAGCTTTAAAGTACAAAAGTCACGTAGCTGAGATATTTCCAACATGAAAAAACACTTTTATTTGAAGTATTGAAGTACTGTATTGACAGAAATCCTATTAAATAAGATTTTTCATTACCGACACAAAGACGGAGAGAAAAAGGCAGAATCTAAGCAGGAAACCCAAAACCTTATACAAACAGTATCAAAAGGTTGAAAACAGAAGCTGTGTACATCACAGTGAGCCCTGAGAAGCCAGAACACTGAAGCAGTGCGTATTGCTTTTAGCTGAAGTCTCTAGTGTCTTAACAGAAATGGCACTTTGTTTGACAAGTATTTCATCCACTTCACTTTTTACAATTTGTGTTGCGCCACGACACAAATTACAATCAATGTTTGTGTGCCGCTGCACAACGAGAGAGTGATTACAGACTATTACTACACTAAATTAGTTATAGAATAACAGAAACACAGAAGTCCCTCATTAAATAAAAAACATTCTAAATAAAACTTTGAATTAAGTCAATCCATAGCACAACAAGGAGGAAATGAAGTGGTTTGAATATTTTCCAAAGCCACTGCATATAGATATATTAACAATACATCACTGTACTTTAGTGTTTTCCAGTAAAGCTCCATTTGAAATCACACAACAAAATGATTAAACCTTAATTTATACAAAGTACCAAATCTCAGATCAAACTATAAAGTGACAGCCGTGTGTTTAGTGTCTTCTTCCGTCTCATTGGACGACACAGAGCTCAGTGCCGGACTGACTGTGAGTCTCTGCTGTCCCGTCTGCGTCTCTGTGAGTCCTGCTGTGCTCGTCTGAGCCCTGGTTCGGCTCGTATGAAGGGGGCTCCAGACTCTGCCTCAGCTCCATGAGCAGCTCTTTGCCGTCACTCGACGGCAGGTTTCCCAGGTAGTACTGAGGGGCCAACTCCACAAGCCTACAGCAGAGAGGTGTTTCATTAAGCAGGCCTGTTACTGACAGAATCACCATCATGAGTCCTGAGAGGCTGCGATGATCAGTTCAGCATTTCAGAAAATATACGTATTGGCTTTCTTTGAGGCAGGCCCCGTTCAAAGTTCAGAAATGCTCTCACCTCCTCAACATTCCCCTTAAACCAACACATGGCTTGACCCAGTCTAACTTTCATGAATTAATTACGTCTCAAATGAATAATATTTGTTGGCCAACTATTTTTCTTGACGGAAATAAAAAGTAACCTTTGAGTAAGTTCAACGATTAATATCGCAGCATTATTGAACTCTTCAAAGAAATATGTTCTCTGACGTTTTAGCTAGAATTTGCCGTAAACGAATATCCTTTTTACCAAAAGCAGGCATCAAAATGAACTCTGGCTTGACTTGGTCTTGCTTCATCATAAACAGACTGGAAGAGATGGATGTCTATGGTCATAACTGTTTGGAGGAAAGCTGAAATAAAGAAGCTAACACACTCAAATCCGTAACAGTAACTTGCACAATGTACCGGTTTGACTCACATCTGAGGGTGGACTTCTGAAGCGATGCGGATGCAGTTATCACAGGAGATGGTGAATTCGTGGTACAGGACCCAGCTCGGGGGTTTGGGGCACGGCTGCCGACACAGGTAGGAGGAGAAGGGATGCAGGTGAGCCACGTGGCGGTGAGTTAGCAGGAGGTAGTTACCTGAGCCATCCACATCATGAGCCACCTGAAGAGGAGAAGAACACATGTTATCATCCACAACAAAGTAAGAAAATATGGGAGGAAGAGTGAAGGACTGAAAGGTGGAAGGAAGACGTGTTGAGGCAAACCTGTAATACAGTCAGAAACACTCGGGAAAGTGTGAGATGAAAAGTAGCGTTAGACCAACACACTGCTCTTCTAATATTAGACTCCACATTGAAAAAGACAAGAATCGCATATTGATTATGTAACTGGCCCGAAAATCAAACAGACATGGTTCCTCTTACCTGTTGGTATCGGCCGTAGAGACGTCTGCCTTCTCTCGACGATAATGGAACTATACGGCACTCGGCTTTTGATGCTCAAAGCTCCAAAACAAATGCATTTGAAAAACTCAAAAGCAATGTCTCTTTACAGAAATCATGACCCGGTTACTCAAGATAGTCACAGACCTCTATGTCAGAGGTTTCATCTAGGAACTATTTTCTTTCAACCATAGTTCCAACATGAAAAGGTAAAATATCTATTGACTTTGGGGTGAACAGTCATGTAATGTGTGTTCAGAGAGAATTGCAAAGCCACTTTTTTCTCAACACACACACACACACACTTAACATCACTGACATGTTTATCGGACGGAATGAGTAAGTTCAACGAATAATATCGCAGCATTATTGAAACACACACACACACACACACACACACACACACACACACACACCAACTGATGTCTGTACAGTCGGTACCTCAACACACTGCAGAAACAGGGCAGGATGGAGGAGCCAGGGAACTACCGATCTCCCTATCAGTGACGACCCGCTGTAACTCCTGAGCCACCAGCAGCAACATTGCATTATTCACATGAAGTTAAAATTCGGTTGTTTTATTCGTATTAAATTCCAATCTTGACGAAATATTAGAACTTGCTGGGCTTTTTCTTTTCTTTTCTAGAATGAAAAGAGTCGAATCACCAACAGTACAAAAGATGGCACCTTTAACAGGAGTTGCCTTCAACAAGCGCTCCAGGTCAAAGCACAACCAGGTGGACAAGAGTCCACCGCCATGCTAGCAGCTCTGTGAGGAGCTACTTTGTATGACTTGTAAAGTCAGCATGCTAAAGTGTGCTCACAATAACAATGATATAACATTAAACAGGTATAATGCTCAACCTCATGTTTTAGCATGTTAGCCCGCTAACACTTGCTAATTAGCAGTAAACCCAAAGAACAGCCGTCATTAGTTCACTCAGTTTTAGAAAGCAGGGTGTTTACTTTGAGGAAGAAGCCTGAGATGAGAGCACGCTTGATGTTCGTGCAGTTGTCTTGGCATCCGAAAGCAGGAGGAGAAACAGGAAGCTCTATTCGCTGCATCACCTCCAGCAGCTCCGCCCTGATCACCACAGCCAATCGCAAGGCGGGGTGACTGAGGAAGTTTGTCGTGCACCACACCTCATCCTGATTATCTGCAATCACCACACAGAGACCAATCAATAATTCATGGTTCTATATGTTATAAAGCCTCAACAGTCACATTAATGCAGGGTTCTCTCTGTGGTCATGAAGCTAAATCCAAAACTCTGTATTCCCTCTGATGCTTAAACACATGACACAGTCCTGTTAAGTTAGTGAACATTTGTAAGAGCATCCAATATTATGTGTCCAGTGATGTAATAAATGTTTGAAACACACCCGTCTCAATTCAGTTTGTTGATAGGTTCCATGATCAGTGGGAACCCCAGTGTAAAGTATTGATGTCATGAAGGCTGAATGGTACGTACGCTCTATGAAGGTGTTGTAAATATGAATGAGAGTCATGTGGTCTCCCTCTGCGTGCATCAGGGGTCGCCAGTGTGTGACAACAGCCTCCTCTCTGCTGGGTTCTGCTGTCACAAAGCAGGAAGGAGCTGACAGAAGACAAAGATCATAAACATCAAGAGTACATAAGTAAATATGTAAGTACTTGTGAAATTGGGCCGTATGCATACAATGCCTGTTGATTAATAAATATGCATTATTAACATAGCCATGGCATTTCAGTGTGTCATGGGGCATCATATCTCCTGGAATGTGAGTCGATTATGTCATTTTAATTGTTTTCCAAAGAGGATAATTATTCCCTCTTTTTAAAAGGTTTTACCTGTAAGCATGGCGGCTATAGTGAGCAGCTCATCAACACAGTCGTACTCGCAGGCAGCGATCAGGGCTTTAGCCAGCGGTGGCTCCAGAGGCAGCTCCGACATTATGATGCCCACCTCTGACAGGTTCCCATCGTCATCCAGTGCTGCCAGGTAGTCCAGGTCCTCCAGAGCCTGCATCAGAGCCTCGGGGGCTGGCAATGAGGAACATAAATATGGAGAGAGTCGTACACGTCAGTGATGACAGACAGTAGAGACACTACACTTAAGTCAATGAGCTACAGTTGGCGACTATTTTCAGCACTTCACTTTAAAAAAAGCTAACCTGAATGCATCTGTACTAAATAACTTCAAGACCATATCAAACCTGCCGTTTATTAGTTTACTAAATTGTCTTTAGACAACTCTGCAACTTCCTGGCAGTAAATAACTTCCTTGACAACTTCCAGTCTGGATTGAGGCCCAGCCACAGTACAGAGACTGCTCTTATCAAGGTTATGAATGACATACATCTCAGCACAGACTCTGGTGAAGTCTCTGTCCTTCACTGCTGCATTTGATATGGTTGACACTGGTTTGGTCTCTCTAACATGCTCCTGAATTGGTAAGAGTCCTACCTCATATTATAATATATTAAACAAATTAGTAGCTGGATGTTCCAAAATGTTCTCCAGTTAAATGAGGAAAAAACGGAAGTAATTGTTTTTGGGGTAAAAAACAACAACAGTAAACAGTAAAAATGAAGTTCAACACCTTGGATTCAGACCTAAACTTCAGTAGTCACATTAAATCACTAACTAAATCAGCCTTTTACCAAGTATAACATAAAGAAATATTGTAAGGATCAGAGACTTTATGTGAAAACATGATAAACACACAGGTGTGTCTGAGACAGCATCAGACAGCTTCAGTTGATCCCTTCTTCTGCCAGGGTCAGAACAAGGACCACAAACGCTCAGCAAATAACTCCAGTCCTCACATCACTACATCGGCTCCCAATTCCTCAAAGAATAAACTTCTAAATTGTATTGCTTGTCCATAAATCACTCAACCGTTTAGGTACTAGATACTCCAGATCTCCGGACCCAGTACAGACCTCTCAGGTGGGCTGGCTGCTCCTTGAGTTAAAGCTAAACACGGTGACGCTGTTTTTAGAATCTATGCCGCTCAAATGTGGAACAAAGAGCTAAGGCTGAGATGGTGCCGACTACCTGCTAATCTGAGCTAAAGACCTGCCTGTTCACCATTGCTTTTAACTCATTTTATTTAAAATCTCATTGATGTTATTTAGTAGTGAAAGCCTCTTCAGTGGTAGGTCCTGTTACAGTCGGTGTCTCCAGGAACACATTTAGCCATGATGACTCACACTCAGACTCACAAGGTGAAAACAATACCAGCACTGCTGTAGCAGCTGGTATTAGGTGTTATTCAAAGTAGTTCATAAATGTACCTGGTCTGTCAAGGAACTTGCACTGTCCCATGTCAGCAATATCGAGCCTCTTAAGCAACAGCACCATGTGGCTCAGGTTTTCCTCCACCACCCCTGGACAATGAGCCTCCTCCATCCCATCCTCATACAGAGACTGGGGGTAAAGACGGAGACACAGCCCTAAAGACCAACAAGGAGACTGCATGTAGTAAACAGTCATGAAACAGGAAATGACTATATTTAAACAATTTGATTTGATTTTGTTTCAATTATTTGAACAATAGCTAAACAATTAACAATTTCATACAGCAGCTGGATGGTGAAGCTGCCTATAATAAACACTTAATGACATGGGTTGTTCTTTTGTGAAGCTGGCTATACAGTAAATAATTGCAAATCTAAAATCTGAATGACTTTGGGGGCATGCATCGCTGTCTGCCACAGTGACTTTAGTGAAGTTACTTAGTTAATTAAGTGAAAGTCCACATTGAACAACATCAGCTGGTAATAAGAACAGCAGCAATGACCTTTGACCTACCTGGGAGGTGGCTGTTCACCCTTTCAGTTCTCATGTCGGCCTGGTGTTTGCTGATCGTCCTCACGACCTGCGAGTTAGCTCGTATTTGTGTGTTGTAAACCTGTGGCAGAATATGGGGGAATGTCCACATTTACATGATAGTCTGAACGTGCTGATTTTATTTTTACTTTAATCAAATAACTCTTTGTCCCCAGCAATTAGGTTCAAATCAAATATTTAAATTCTTTCCATTCAGTTAAGCTCATTAAAACAAATTTATATTAACAATACAGAGGAAATACAAAGACAACTGCTTAAATAATGTGTAATATAATCATGACATCTTGTCAGGTATGAAAACAAACTTACAGTTTTGAGTTGCAGGCCTGTGTCTATGACATAGCGAATGGCTGGCAGGGAGAAGGAAGCCTCTGCGAGGGTATCGGAGAGGATAACCTTCCTTTTCACCCCCTGACCTCCGGCTCCCAGCACTGAGCCATCCAAGACCTCGGAGCGGTCACTCTCCCTTAGCGTTGAATCTTCGGGGCTGGATTCGTAGACCCGCTGGGTCAGCCCACCCAGTCCAGCATGGAGGGGGAAGATCCTGAGAGGACCAAGCTGAGGACTCAGAGCTACACACTCCTTCTCCAGCAGAGCGACACACGCCTCTGTTTCCTACACCCAACGGGAGAGAGAATGGAGCCTCAGTTTGAATCCACTCTTTCAAACATCACGCTCAAGCGCTCCACACAAGTTGTGAGGGTTCAGGTCAGCTGATGCAAGGCAACCCTGAAATGTGTTTCTCTGTGCTGTTGTTTGTTGTGTGACTGCACTGTGTGTGTGTGTGTGTGTATCACTGAGGATTAACCAGAACAGATCAGTATCATCAGACAGGACTGTGACTTACAGATGTAGCTGTAACACAGGAGCACACAACCGGCTCCGTCTCAAATGGAAACCAGCATTGACAGCCAGCCCGGTGTGCTGATGTTGACATAAAGGGAGTTTAATGTGCATGAGAGAGTTGGATAAACTCTAGGTCAATATACAGATAGCTTTGCACTTGGATGGAGAACACATGACAGATACATTGTGGCAGTGTGTGTGTGAGTGAGAGAGAGTGTGTGACACTGGCTTCTCAGGTTGAGGTGTCCTCGTTTCACTCCTCTACAAGACAAAGGTGGTGAAACTCTACAGAGCTTTTTCTTTTGTTCAAGATACAAAAAGACTTCACTAGGAACTTGATAGGGTTTCTTCCAATTAACAGACAAAACTATTACTACACAAAGAAATGTGGAGCTCTTCACTAATGAACCACTAAGAGTGAGACAGGAGCAACAATAACAGGGCTTCTAAATGGAACCCTGGATAACTGCCACATCATTCAGCTGATTAACACTGAGGTCATATCAATAGTTCCACATGTTGAACTTTGCCAAAACATTTTCTCCCCCTGAAAATCATTATTGAATTTGACAAATGTTAATGTTATATTCTTTAACATTAACATTTTATGAAACACAATTTTTGGTACTAGCCATTCAATGTATTTGCATTCTGCAACTGTTGCTCTGTACATTACATTACAGTACAGTACAGTCATTGAGCAGACGCTTTTATCCAAAGCGACTTACAATTCAGATTCTATCACATTCATACACGTAGGCACAGCTGCGGGAGACATTCTGGGGTTAAGTGTCTTGCTCAAGGACACATCGACATGCGACTAGCGGAGCCGGGGATTGAACCACCGATTCTCTGATTGAAGGACGGCCCTGCTCTCTACTTAGCCACAGTCGCCTGTAAAGTAGTTTTCATTCGTATTAGCAGAGGCTTCTGTACAGGATTAGATATCAGAGAGGTTGGTCAGGGACAGCAGCTCATAGATGTTGATGTCACACAGAGATTCATTTAAACAGTAAAATTTGGTACTGAAGGAAGTTTTAAAAAGTGTTCATAAGTGGGCTTGTTTTCTCTCCTAATAGAAGTTCTGACTAAGGAATATAAAGTATTAGTAGACTTGTACCTGGGCACTGGCCAAAAACACCATCACATTTCCCTCCTCTCCCCTTCGGTGCAGATCCAGCACCATGTGACAGGCAGCAGCCGCCGGTTCCTTCCCTGATGAAAGCTCCCTGTACAGCGTCTCCACCCTGTTCAACTCAACAGCCATCCTGTAGCCCTCTACCTCGCTCCCCTCCTCCTGGTCTCTGGTAGGGGGTTCTGTGAGCATGCTGTCCAGGGAGAGGTGAGGGACAGATGGTCCCAGGAAGGCAGAGAGGCGAGGTGCCAGCGTCGGGTGAGTCAGGAGAACCACCCGGAAGTTGTCAGGCCTCTGCCGGCAGACGTCACACAGCAGGCCCAGCAGCACGTCGGTGGGCACGGTACGCTCCTGGAGCTCGTCCAACACCACAATGCCATACTGACGCAGTAGAGGGTCTGACATCATTTCCTCTAGCAGGAGGGTGTCACTGACAAACCTGGGGAGAGGAAATGAAAAATGAGATGAGGAAAGAGCCAGTATCCTTCAAACAAATAGAGATTTGAAAGCATTTAGACAGCAGGATGGTCCAGTGGCTCAAACCTCACATCACTAAGCGACAAAGTGACATGCTAAATGGCTGAAAGCTACGACCTTTATGGAAGTACATGAATTTACATAATCATTCAGAATGCAGGAAAGGACACAGAGATCAGTTTGCAGTGAATGCACCGCTGTAACACTTTTACTGCCACCTTGGACAGCAAACTGCAGGGAACACAGAACAAAGAGTCAAGGTGTGGCTGTAAGGAAAAGACAGAGCATGCAACATTGTCATACCCAGTGTAACCCATGAAGGTGTCTACTTTCCCTCTGGGGAGGAGAAGACTATCACACAAGATACAGATCAGCATTGTGCTCGGAAAATAAAGCAAGGAATGACTCATTTCATGGATTCCCCTACAGTTTGGAAGAGCACATTTTGATATTGATATCTTGTTGAGAAATTTGTTGCACTTGTACTCAACCTGGTTAAGCCCTATTATAGTATCCCCAGGGCACACTGCAGTTTATAAAACCTCCTTCCAGGAAGTTGAAGGTAGTAAACTCTCTGAGTTGAACAGAATTATGTAAATGTTGTTGGAAAACCGAATCAAGTGATTCCTCCGGCTCCTCTCTGCCCCATTCCAGTAATGGGTGAGCCATTTGAAAGGGTGATTGTCGATTGTGTTGGGCCATTGCCAAAGACTAAAGCTGGGAATCAGTTCCTACTAACTGTCATGTGTGCGTCCACTAGGTTCCCGGAAGCAATTCCGCTACGAAGGATCACAGCTCCAGTTATCACCAAGGTAAAATTCTTTACATTGTTTGGTCTGCCAAAGGCGGTTCAAACAGATCAAGGTACCAATTTCAAATCAAGAGTCTTTGCCCAAGCACTTAAAACATTGGATGTTAAACATGTAACATCTAGCCCCTACCATCCAGAAAGTCAGGGGGCGCTGGAGAGATTTCACCAGACCATGAAATCAATGTCACGAAAACACTGTCATGAGTCAGAGCGGGATTGGGATGACAGTGTCCCACTAGTTATGTTCGCTACCCGCGAAGCTGTACAGGAGTCCCTAGGTTTCAGTCCTGCTGAATTGTTTTTTGGACATGAAGTTAGGGGTCCTTTGAAAGTTCTTAAAAAGCAACTGGTCATACCAGAGAAGAGGGTCAGAAGTATCCCAGAGTACGTCAGCAAGCTCAAAGATCGCCTCCAGCTAGCCTGCTCCTTGGCAAGGATGAAGAAGCGATATGACCAGCGAGCAATCACACATTTGTTTCAGCCAGGTGACAGAGTTTTGATTATTTTGCCTGTACCTGGTTCTGCACTTTCTACCAAGTTTTCCGGTCCTTATGTTGTAGAAAAGAAGTTAAATGAAACTAATTACGTTATCCAAACTCCGGACCGCAGGCGACGGACCAGAGTGTGTCATGTGGATATGATAAAGCAGTACCACCTCCGAGAAGGTCAACAAGGGTCATCCAAAATCCATGGGTTGAAGACTTCAGTCTCACCTATGGTATCCATTTCAAAAGGTGAGCACTCCTGATAATGGTGATGAAGATGGGTTGGTGATGCGGAATGCTACACCACAGGGGGCAAGACTAAGTAACACTGAGGTATTGTCCCACTTGCCCCACTACTTGTCTCATCTCCCTGATGACCAGAGAGCGGATGTTATGGAATGATTTTCCGTGTCTGTTTAATGACATTCCCTCCCAAACTTCTGTCATAACTCACGACGTTGTGTTGACTAACCCTATACCGATCAAGCAGCATGCCTATCGGGTAAATCGAATTAAGAGGGAAGTCATGAAGGAGGTTGACTATCTTGTACAGAATGGATTTGCAGTACCAAGTTCCAGTCCATGGAGTTCTCCCTGTCTCCTCGATACCAAGTCTGATGGGAGTCCAAGATTTTGTACTGACTTTTGCAAGGTAAATGCTGTAACTGTTCCTGATGCACATCCATTACCTCTAATTGATGACTGCATTGATGAGATTGGTCCTTCCACATACAGTGCCTTGCATAAGTATTCACCCCCCTTGGATGTTTCATCCTTTTGTTGCTTTTATACATGAAATCATGGTCAATATAATTTGGCTTTTTTGACAAGAATTTGCAAAAAAACCCTCTTTAATATCAAAGTGAAA